TTTTGGGATTTGAATTCCGAAATGGTGTCCAATTTTTTTTTCCACCCGAACAAGTTTATATATGTTTAAATTCAACCCGAATAGATTAAGTATCTGTTTAAATTCAAACCAAACAGGTTCCTTACCTGTTCAAACAGTACCGAACAGGTACCATATCTGTTCAAACGGGTTTGTTACCTGTTGGGTTCAAATCTGAAAAGCCACCAGTGCACTTATAAATAGTCAGTTCCTCATTTGGATTTTGCTCTCAGTTTTTCTATTCTAATTCTGCTATTGCTCTCTGCATTTTGCTGTATTTAATTTTCCTGTGAGAAAAAGTATAAACACAAAGTATATTCGTTGTGCAAACAGTTTGTAATGCTGCTATTGTTTATTGTAGATTATTTCATCCTGGGAGATAGACATCCATAATCTGTTAGCACCCGAGAGAGGACGAATCTGTCTTAAAGAGATAGTGTTCAACACTGGATTTGATCTAAATATTGACAAAATAATACTGTAAGTAATTCGATTACTTTTCTGTTTTTTTTTTTTTTTCAAATTCTGGTTTTGTTTTTGCAACAAATTACGAATCTGTTTTCCTTAATTTATTTTCATATATATATACTATTTTGATTTTTGTAATTAAACAGTCTCTCTCATTTCTTCAATCCATTCTTCGAATACAGTGAAGATTGTCTAACATTGAGTTATCCACAGGTATTTGTGCATTTTTTCTTGATGTATCTGCTACATTGGCAGCAGGTATGAATATGTTGCTATTTGCAAATTCTGTCTCAGTTTTTTTTTTTTTCTTTTTTGTTTTCAACAGTAGTTGAATACTATATTTGTTAGCATTAATAATAGGTCTATCTATTGAAAACTACCATGGAGGACACTTTATTGATCATGAGCACGATGGCCATTTTGTTAAACAAAAAATAACAATAGATCTACAGGATGTATAACAAAGAGAAATGTGCATGCCACATATGCACCACAGACGCATATATTAGGTTCTCAGATACAGAGGGATAGTTAGTCTTGAAAGACGGTGGTAATGAAAACTTCTAAGAGGCAAATTTATGGTGTTCTCTATTGAATGTGAAAAAACTAGAAATCCCCTAGATATTGATTTGTGCATTCACGAATAATCAGGAGCATTTAAGGCCAAAATGAACACAACCGTGAGAACCACGATGTGTCAGAAGATATTTTGTGTGAAATCTATTATCTTGACTTACACAAACGGCTGAACAATTCAAGGCATCGCGTCCATTGGTTAGCTAGTAAGTCCGATAAGTTATCACTAGGGAAAGTTCAAGGCCAAAAGCTACCTATCCTGGTGCAAGATATTTTCAATTTATACTCTTTCAACAAATTCTGCATGTTGTTGCATTTCCGTTGCTTCTCTCACAATTCGTAGTTCTCTCCCTTACGATTTCACTCTTGATCGTAGGGTTTGTGTCGTTTGCTGTTGCCGCGCGAGACGATCAATGCTTCATTCTGCCCCTACAAGTTTGTTCCCTTTTTGCTTTGTATCTCAATGCCCAAGCTTCTCTCTCTCAATTTCTTAACTAAATCTATGTTTGTCTATTTTCACTTCTTCTACTGCCGCCTCTATCTACGCATTCTGTAACTGCTCGTTCTGTCAAGCATCTTAGATAGTTTTCTGGGTTATTGTTATTTCTTGTAAAGATTGAGACCCTCTTTGTTCTTTTCTCTCATTTGGCTCTCATCATCTGAAGAACATTTTTAAGTGCAAAGAGTGGCAGCAATGTTAAACAAAAGAAATCTAAAATTGTCCCCATTTCGTCCCAACTTTTTTTTTCTGATTGTTTTTTTGTTATTGTTTTTGTTGTCGTCATTTTGTTTTTGATTTTGTTTTTGTTTATTTTTTTTCTTGCTTTAGTATTTTTAAAACTTTTCAAGTCCCCAAAAAACAAAAGAAAAGTAAAAATCCAAACAAATTCAGTAAGGCACTCATAAGTGATCCAAACAGAGATTTCTTTTTTGTCCTGCTCTATAATATCTAGATGTGTTTATATGAAAGGAACAAAACAATATTGTATTTTGTAGTCACTGTTATGTATAATTAAAATTTACTAGTTTTTCTTTGATCATACTTTCACCACTGCCATGTGGCACTAGTAGGACTTATGGAATATGATTGCTCATGGAAGCCTGGCCAACCTAGGCCTCCATGTTGATTCGGTCTAATTTTTGCTCCCAGACTTTTAGTACTCTACTCTAACATATGAACAACACCAATTTTATCAAATCTGCAACTGCTTTTATGTTTATTTTTCTGTTTGAGTAACGAAATGCATAATTTGCTTACATTTGCTTGTTGGGATTTATGCATGTGTAGAAGGATATACTATCTACTTTAAAAAATTGTAATCATGAATCAGGATGCTTTATTGACTTGACTTGTTCTTTTCATAACACACAATAGTGGACTTCATGTCTCTCAATATTCCCATGTGCCTATTATATTTGATACCAGTGGAATTTGGTAAGGTCCTTAGAGTACAATTTAAAAAAAATTTATAGTCTAATTCATTTAATGGAGTCAGAGCTTGTTATCTCTTTTGTGTGTATATGTGTGTATCTCTCTGGATGTATATGTGTAAAACGTTTTTAAAGGACTTAGTGCTCATGATGTGCTATCCTATATCAACATTTACAAGTCTTGGGGACTTGAGATCTTAGTTTACTCGGGGATATTCCTTTTAAGTTCTTTCTGATTAATTGCTTTTACACATTTTACTTTTAGTATGCAGTTAACCCTACATTTTGAGGTAAATTTTGTACATTTGGAGCTGTAGATATCTCATTGAAGTTTTGGTTGTACTTGAACAATTAGTCAGCTATTTTTTAACTGGTAGGTTGATTGACAGCTATCCAGAAATGGGGATAAGGCTGCATATATCTTGCTCTCTCCACGCCATACTTTAGCTAAGGACCTAATATTCGCTACACCATAAGGATTTGGCAACTATAAGATACTAGTATTTGTGTTAGATTTTGAGAAGTCTAAAATTTCTTTTAGATGCTTGTGAGGTCAAGTTCCAAAAGAGTATGACCACAGCTTGTTTAGCATGGCATCTTGTGAGATTGTGAATCCTAAGATATATAAGCCTAACATTTTGTGTTTGTGATGCTGGTGCTGATTGAAAAGGATAAAAGTTTAAAGGCTGGCTTTACCGCCTGATATATAGGAAATAGTTTTGTCAAGACCGTGGTTAGGAGACAAGGTACTATGGGGGCTTGATATTGTGTTAAATGTTAGATGCCTGTCTTGGTAGTTTGGGTGTTGGACACCTGTTGACTAGTCACCCGCTTCTCTTAATTGGAGTCTTACTAAAAAGTTTTATGTTAATTGCCCAGGAAATATACGAAAGTATAGGAGGTTGCAAATTCTTCCTTGAGGTATTTGCAGTAGATTTTTATCAAGCTATTTATATTATTGTAGGAAATAGCTTGATAAAACTATTTGTATTATCAAGCTATTTGTAGTACAGTTTTATGAAGATATGTTTGGAATCTTGGAGTTTCATAAATCAATAGAGAAACAACACATATGTCTACTATATACCTTTCTTTTTCTATCTTTCTTGAACTTTTCCTATCCTTCTTTTAGTGGTTTGTTAAACTTTGTTAAGGTTTCATTTTTTTTCCCATAACGTAGGCTTAGGCTTGCTATTGTTATTTCACTTCCTCCTGACACTTACCCAATTCATGACTAAATTTAGGAATGTAACATGAAATATATATATATATATATATATTGTTGATAAATGTAAAAAACACTAAACCTAATTCTTATTAACTGCAGGGGATCCCCAAAATTGAGCCCAACAGTGATGTTCAGCATGTTGTTGAGGTACACTTTTTTATGTAAAAATAGTTCTTCAAGTTAAAATTGAATTTCTATTCCAGTTGGGGTTTTTTCACTAGACAGTCTGTTGAATTCTTTTTCAACGTCTAATTTTCAATTTTGAAGATCAAGACTCCTTAGCAAATTGAGAGAATGAGAGAAACTTGTTGAGTAAGTTCTTAGCACCCTCTTTTTCTCAAAAATGAAAAGGAAATTTTATAAGTTCCATTTGCATGAGGCAAACCTCTGTTTTATTATATGGTTTGTTCATAGCTTTTATCATTACCTTATCCAAAGTTGCCTTCTTCTTTTGCTAATTTGTCTCTTTCAATTTGCAAGTGTATTTGCAGTAGTGGATAGGAAAGAATGAATTTGATGTGAACAGTAGAATAGGAAGGCTAATCAAGATTTGCATTGTGGATAGGAAAGAAGGAATTGACAATGATTGGTGGCAATGGAGATAATGATTCATAATTTGTTATGATGGCATTTGAATTTAAGTCTAGTTTCTTTATTATCACCTTTTAGCCGAGTATTTATGCATGTGTACATTCTCTTTGCTTCTCTTCCTAGAATACTCGTTGTTGTGTGTTTTTTAGAATGCTTTCTAATAGAGAATCAGCTAGACGCTCTAGAAGAAGAAAACAAGCCCATTTGACTGAGCTAGAAACACAGGTTTTGTCCTTTATCTTGTCCCTTGGGACCCAGCCTATAACACTCTGCACTTTCTCATCAAAGAATACAACACATGTATTTGTTGCATTAGATAGGCCAACTGTCATGTACAGTAGTAACAAGGAATTACTCTACAACAATGTAAATTTGAAAGAGGTTAGTCATATATGCCCTTTCAACTCTGCTGCTTTTCTAGACAAGTAAATTTGGCTCTCTCTCTTAATTTAAAGTTTTTTCCCCCTCATCATCGTCAATTGAAATGTTGGAACATGATTCTTTTGTATTTTTGCTTAAACATACTTCTTGAATTGGAAAAGGAGAAATCTTTAATTGTTATTCTAGTCTATGCTTCTAAAGGTAATTCTATGCCACTTGTTTTCAAATTCATTTTTTGTTCCCAAAAGAAGGAAAAAATGGTTTCATCTTTAATTCTGCTGGCTGTTGTTGCTGCTGCCCTGGTGGTTGATGCTTGCTGCGGCTGCTGCTGTTGCTACAATGTTGTTGTGAGGCGTGCATACTGCCAATCCATCTGATGAAGTTACACCTGTCGGAATGTGGGTGAAGTTGCACCTGTCGGGCATGCATGTTGAAGGGAAGGTAACAACTAGTATATTCTTATTTTTAGACTAGACTGTGTATGCATGGTATATTTTTTCATTTGTATTATATGTTCATAGCCTATAATGAATTTGAATATTATATGAACGTTGAAAACTCATGGTTGAGATATCTGTTAGACTTCTGGTTAACAAATTAGAATAATATAGTAGTCTTCATGCATAATGGAACTCCTTATCTTCCAGGAGCAAACTAATGCTACAATAGCTAGAAATTGGTGATGGGATAGTCATTTAGTGTACCTAACAAGTTTTATTGGCTACTGGTGGTGGTCATTTAGTGTACCTACAAATTGGTGATGGGATACTGACAGAAATGAAACATGCACAATTAGAGTATGATATATCATGCCTTGATATAAATCCCATTACTGAAAATCCCAACTGCAGTCAGCTAGCTGCCATGGGAATGTGGACTGATATAAGTGTTAGAATATTTTTCTCTACCTGACTTGAACCTCATTACGAAGTAAAATTTGGGTTTTCCTTACGAGGGGAAGCAGATTTTATGCACTCTTAGTGGGATGAAAGGGTGGGAAAGATAAGAAAGACGTGGCTATTGGCCGCTTTATGCCTTATGTGGATAATTTGGAGTGAGCGAAATAGGAGGATGTTTCATGGAATGGAGGAACCTTTTCATAGGTTTAAGAGTTCTCATAATGCTATTGTGTACATTTTCTTTTTTTTTTATAAAGCTAACTTTAAATTAGCCAACAAGTGAGCAGGTCTCATGTGCTATGCTTTCTTTTTTATTGTTGTTGTTGTTATCATTATTATTTTATTTTATTTTTTGCATTTGAAAGTGTACTAGCATAATTGGTGAAGGTTTCACTCAAAAAATCAGTTGATTTGCATTTATGGTAATGAATATAGGGTCTGGTTTTATATTTTGCATTGGTTAATTAATGCAATACAAATTGATTAATGTCATTGCTCAATAGTAACCATATGTGGTGTGCTATTCAATGATTAGTCATAGTGATCTCTTATGCTGATTATAAATGACCTTCCTTTTATTGTTTGTCTGCTTCTTGTTTTTTCTATGTTGGAGTTAAAAGTAACATCCACATCTAGAAAGACCAGATCGACTTCGAGCTATTGCTACTAGCCTTGCAACTGCTGGTGTGTTGGTTAATTTTATTTCTTTTATTTTTGTTTGTGTTTGCAGAAGTTGGTTTGTTGCTACCCATATCAATAATTATTTTCTGTTTGTCAGTATAAAATTTTCATAACAGTGTACTGGGGTTATGTGGTAAATTATATGGTTTCTTTTGTCCCCCAAACAATTGACAAGCAATTTCAAAATTTGAACTTTTGCAGGTATATTTCCGGGACGATGTGTTCCGATTTCTGCAAGAGAAATCACACAAAATGAACTACATATGGTAAGCAATGAGCATCATCTTGAGGCTTGCAAGGGCTAATTAAAATCCATGCATATAATAGTACTTCTATTCTATTGCTGATCATAAAATAGTGCTTCTATTCGATTTTGCTTCTGATATCTGAGACTGCTTTCAGGAAATAAAGTAGATGAGCTAGAATTTTATAATTGTAGAATGTTTCTGATAGTATTCTTGAATCACATCTCTCTGGTATACTATTTTTTGTGTTTGTATGATGAGAACAATAAGCTGGGATCATTGGTCATGCATCTTAGTTCTTGGGCTGAATCTCTTCAGTATAATGTTGGAACCGTGATGCAAATTTTTATTTCATAGGGTTTTGAAACAAGTGCCTTTTCCATTGCTGAATCTTTGTTTTTGGAGTTTGCAGGTCCACTCTTTCGAGCACATTGAATCTGTAGAGCTTACAAGCCGTATTTTTTCTAGGTGCATGTGTTCTATTTTTTTTCTTTTTGTTGAGTGATGCACATGAGACCATGTGGTGGGTGTGTGTGGTTGTTGACAGATATGTTGAGATTAGTCTTTAGATTTCTTAGTTCCTGTTGATTGGTAACGAGGGGTGACCTCTTTTTGATTTCCTAGAAGGTTGAGAAATCGAAAGAGGCTATCTTTGACCAAAGGGATTGCTGCACAATTAGAGGATGAAGCATTGATTAGTCTTGTGGTCTTGACTTCGCTTGCTTAATTTTGTACCAACATGTGCATGAAATGTAGTGACTGTTAGATGTTAAATGCCATGCATTAAAAACACTTACTGTAACTATGATTTTGTCCATCTTTTCCACTAACAGGCCATTTTGTTCGTGCTTTCTATACACATTGTTGCCACATTCAATTTTCTTCAATTAATTTGTTTTGTATTTTTTATAATGCTTTCTAATAGAGAATCAGCTAGACGCTCTAAAAGAAGAAAACAAGCTCATTTGACCGAGCTAGAAACACAGGATGTCCTTTATCTTGTCCCTTGGGACCCAGTCTATAACACTCCGCACTTTCTCATCAAAGAATACAACACGTGAATTTGCTACATCAGATAGGCCAACTGTCATTTATTGTAGTAACAAGAAATTACTCTATAGCAATGTAAATTTGAAACAGGTCATTCATATGTGCCCTTTCAACTCTGCTGCTTTTCCGGATAGGTAAATTTGGCTCTCTCTTTTAATTTTAAGTGTTTTTCTCCCTCATCATCGTCAATTGAAATGTTGGAACTTGATTCTTTTGTATTTTTTCTTAAACACACTTCTTGAATTGGAAAAGAAGAAATCTTTAATAGTTATTCTAGTCCATGCTTCTGAAGGTAATTATATGCCACTTCTTGGTAATTTTAACTCAACAGTTTGTTGTTGTTCTCTGTTCTGATGTATCTGCTGTATATGTTGTTCTGCTCTGCTAATCTGGTGTATCTGTAATTATCTACTCTGTTTTAGGTTAGATTTGTTCAACAAAGATTGGATTCTACTCTCATCTATTCATTTTAGGCCCTGATTCTTGAAATCAAGTGATTATTAAGGTAAATGTTTTTCTTTTATTTCATTACCATAAGAAATATGAATGAAATTATGGAATTCAGAATGTTTGAATTGATTAGTATATTTAAGTGATTTACAGATTATAATTTTATAATTTCTATATTTTATAGTTTTTATTTGTATCTCATAATGCATGCTATCAACTTATTATGATATCTAAGTTTTCGAGGGCCTGCACATATAACACCTAGCTTATTGATGAATTCAACCTTATATGTTACTTCTGTTAGATCGCTACTAATCCTAAAAGGTCAAGTTGTGTGGAAAGAGGCCCAACAATGCATATTGAGCTCTCTGACACCCTCGTCATGTGCAATCCCGTCTTGCATATGAAGATGAAAACATCCTAATATGTGGAGAAACAAAATGCAAACAAGGAAACAAATGCATATATAGAACTTGAACCTAAGACCTTTATTAACCTATTGTTTGACACCTTATTAGACAATCACCAGTAGTCCCGAAAATTTAAGACCTTAGGAAAGGGGCCAAACAATCATTACTTTGCTCTCCAATACTGTCACTTGGATTTACCTTTGAAAATGAATTTTCAGTTAGCCTTGATGCATCACTGCAGTATGTACTAAGCATTGTAGTCTATCATGGTTACTTGCACTTTTTTACCCCTTTATGTCATTTTCAAGTATGGCTAGTCAGAGTGTTAATATAAATCATGTATGATGTATCCACTTCCTACCGTGTCATTTACATGTAAGTTTGTGCACTTTTGTGTTATTTCTTCCATGAGAAGAGCCTAATTGGGTCTGTGATGTGCAGGTCCCCATGGATCATACCAATTCAAAGATAGGAACAGATGCACCACCAAGCAGTACTCCAAACTGGACAATTAACATTTCAGATGTGAGGAAAATACTTACTAAAAGTGCACACTAGTCGGTGCTTATAAGAAGTTCTTTTTATTCATAAACTGGACATCAATGTGAATGACTAAACCACTAGTTGGTGCTTATAAGAACTGTTTTTTATGAATTGGGTATTAGTGTGAATGACTGCACTTTTGTCTTCAAATTCCTATATTCGGATATGTGTGTCCCCCTTATGTCACCAAGATAATGAGCACAGAATTTTGGACTTTGTTGAAGTGACTAAGATTCTGTCTTGCGTGAATCTATTATCTGCCAGTTTAACCAGTTTTGATTTCTTTAAATTTTGTTTTGCAAGTGGCAAGAACCACGCCGCATTCAAAATTCAGTTAATGCAATTTGAATATTTTTTTTCCGTAATCACATTTTCTTAGTGATTACATGTGCTTAGCTATTCTTTTACTTTTTTTTTTCTTTTTTTTTTTCATAGGTAAGAACAGTTAAAGTCAGTAATATCTCACTAGCTACCTCTGAGAAGGATATTAAGGAATTCTTCTCTTTTTCTGGTGATATCCAGTATGTTGAAATGCAAAGGTCAACTCTCTTGACTTACCCAGTGTTAAATTTCTTACATAATCAATGCTCCATAGAGTTTATGGCACGTTCTACAGGGAAGTTGAAACATCTCAGCTTGCATACGTTACCTTCAAGGAATCACAGGAAGCAGATACAGCTATGCTTTTGACAGTATGTCAATTGATTTTCTGTATCAATCTTGATCTCAATTTTTTCATTATTAATTTTTAAAATAAAAAGATTTTGACTGAACGATGCAGTTCTGTACAATGTTGTAGAAATCAAACGTATCCGGAAGGCATGAAACCCTAATGTATGAAACATGTGCCTTATATTTTGTAAAATTAGGAAATTTCTAAAATATTCAATTTAATAAAGATGTACGCAAAAAAATACAGAAAGAAAAGAAGATAACAAAACTTTACTTGCAAAGAAAAAATTCTCAGTTAGGGGCTCACTCCTTGGAAATTTTTTGTCATGTGAACCGCAAGGTCTCACCTGAACAGTTTTTAAGCCTCCTGATGGGAAGCTTGGATGTGTTAGCTTCCTAATCTTTAGAAATATTTTTTATGCAAATGGGTGCCATTTCAAAATTTCTATTAACCCTTAGATTTATTTTATATTTTTATATTTTTGGCCTTTTTGATTCAGGGATCCACAATTGCTGATCTTTCAGTCTCTATTACACGGGCTGAGAATTACCAACTACCTCCTGATGCTCCTCCCCTAACCCCTGTAAGTACCACGCCTGTTAAAAATAATACTTTGGTATCTATTTTTGTAATACTGTTCTATCTATTCATTCTGAAAATTTAAAGATAATGCGAATATAAAAAAAGTTGGATGGGCTAATGGCAGGTAAATTGGTCATGGACCTACTCACCTGATCCTGAGGCCCACATTGTAGTTTTTTGGAAACCTTAGTCGCTTTACTACTAGAAGGATATAAAACCAAAGAAAACAAGAAAAAATAATAATGATGGTGATAATAACTATAAAATAAATAACTCTAAAAGAGAAATGAATGACATAGGAAAACTTCTTGATGATTAAGGTGTGATATGGTGGTAATTGTTTATGACTGAAAACTCCCCTCCTTAGGCTATGTTTGCTTGAAGGATTTGTAGAGAGAAAGGAAGGCAAAATAAATAAAATAGAAATTGTATTTTTGTCACATTTCCCTTATTTTTCCTTTCCCACCACTAATCCCCACTCAAATCCTAGTCCCAAACACAATCTTAATGTCACAGGTTTGCTAGTTGCTATTCATGTCTTGATGGTCAAAACCTGTTGATTGCAGCAGCAAGCAGAAACAGGTCAAACCCTCTGATGTTTTAATTAGTGAAGAAAACAAACTAGAAAACTTTGAAAGTGATTATATATTTGAAACCAGGTGAACTTATAAGGGGGACACACATGTCCATTACTTGGAAAGACATGAAACACATTATAATTTTGAACAAAATAGCTTAGAGGATATATTAATAAAAGAAAAGAAAAATATAGATTTATACTATTAATCTCTCTTCCTTTAAACGTAGGAATTAGCTCATTGTGGGTGCCACTTTTTACTTGTTGATCACCTGTATGGTTGCCTCTTACCTATAGTTTTTAAGTTTATGTTTCTTAGTGAATGCAATCATTTTATTTGTTTTCTTCTTGTTGCCAAATTATTGAATGATGTGAACTTGATAATGATTAGGAGCTTTGTATTGTAATATCGTAGAATCTGAAACCTCTGTACATATCGCAGAGATAATGCATATGCCTTCCATATCAGAAATCATTGAAATGGACCTTATCTGAATATTAGTAGAGAATCTAAAATCAGTTTGCCTTGTGTAAATTATTGCCATTGTTGCAAGTGAATGATTTGTAACTTGGACAACATTTTTTTTCACTGGAGTGTAGAATGCATTGGATCTACTGCTACTGATTGTTTTTGTATAGTTGGAAATCGAAGGTTTTTATTTTATTTTATTTTTTACCAGATGATGGTAAAAGCTTTATGTTTTGGCCAGTACTTGCGCTTGCATATCTATTAATTCACACACACATACACACAGAGACTGTTACCAGATCAATAAAAAAGCTAATGGACTTTGTTTTAAATTTGTCATTGATCAATACAGACTGCTACCAGATCCTCCTTTTTTGCTGGTGGCTGATGGTTGTTGCTTGTTGGTCTGCTACAGCTGCTGGTCTGCTACTTCTGGTTTGCTACTGCTGCTGCCGCCCTCGTGGCTGATGCTTGCTGGGCTGCTGCTGCTGCTGCTGCAATGTTGCTGTGAGGCGGCTGCTACTAGATGCTGGTCTGCTGGATAAGTTTGTGGGTGATTTTCATGCCGTTTTGCCTGTATTTATTAGTTTCATGTTTTCATTTTGTTATCTGTTGTTTCTAATGTGGGTTCACAATTTGGATGTATTTGGGTATTTTAGTGACTTTACCTTTTTAGGTTTTATACATTGCTTCTAAAAGCAATATCAGTAGTGTTTTTTTTGCTTGCACATCAACTTTAGGTGAATTCATATCAATGTTATTAGTTTGTAATAGTGGTGCCTGAGGATGCCTCTTGTAAATCTGTAAATCTTATAAAAATATATAAATTATTTTCAATTATTTGTGTTAGTAAATGAGTCGCCGAAAGTTTATTTTTGCCCACTAATATTGTGTTGCCAGAAATGTATATTTTGCCAATGCCAATTTGTCGTTGCCAAAAGTAAACCATTATCGACAAACAAATCGTCGACAAATGGCAATATTTACCGACGTAAATGTGTTGCCAAAAGTTTACTTTTGCCCACTCATATTGTGTTGCTAAAAGTGCATTTTTTGCTAATGCTAATTTGTCGTTGCCAAAAGTGAAGTTTTATCGACAAACAAATCGTAGGTAAATGACAACATTTACCGACGTAAATGTGTCGCCAAAAATTTACTTTTGCCGACGCATATTTTGTTGCTAAAAATATATTTTTTGCCCATGCAAATTTATGTCGCGAAAAGTGCCAAACAATCATCATATTTTAATGACTTTTACCGACGTAAGGTAAATTGCTGACGATAGATGAAGGCTTTTATCGACGACTACGTTCGTCGCTAAAGGCGTTACTTTTACCAACGCAATGATAATTTCGTCAGCAAAAACTTTTGCCGACTCACTTTTGCCTACGGGTTGCCAACGTAGCTTTGTCTGTCGGCAAAACTCTTTGCCGACGAATTTTCCCTTTTAGCAACATATTTTGTTGCGTTGCGAAAAATGCAATTTCTTGTAGTGTTTATATGTAGTTGTAACTTTTATGTTATATTACTTGAAAATATAAGTCATATATTTTAATTTGTTTAATAAAAAAGAAAATCGGTGATAAATTTATATTTCCACTTAGGGGTCATCAATAAGACGGGTTAGGCTTATCCATCCCACGATTATTGGACGGGCCATGGGATGGGTTGGTCGAGTTTGGTAATATCTATTTTTTTGTCTGCAGGCCATTTGGGGACCCCTATTCCTACCCCTATAACTCTTTAAGGACAATCGTGAAACTATTGGGGCCATAATGACATTTGTTGAAAATTTGTTAGTCAAAAAGACAATTGTTGTTCAAAAGGACATTACCACCTATCTGTTGAAATTTTTTTTAAACCTATCTATTCAAATCTTTTTTTTTTTTTATCTACTTAAGTTTTTGAACTTATCTATTTGAATTTGTATCTATCTGTTGAAAGTTGAATTTCACCAAGCCTATTTTTTTATCTGTTTAAATTTGTGTGTATCTGTTGAAAGTTGAAATTCATCAAGTCTATTTTATTTGTTATAAATTTTTATATGTACAAATTGATTTCATAAACCTACTTTCTCTTTTTCTCTATCTATCTTTGTCTCTCTCTATCTCACTACTTTTTGGGCCTAAAGCTTTAGTTCACTCGTTAGTTCTCAAGGCTATGAAAAAGTTGGGTTTAGCATTGTACTCACTATCCTCATCGTTGGCACCGTCATCTCAGTCGTCATTCCTTCCAAACAACTGCCACTTGATCTCTCATCTTTCCCGACAAAATTTCTTTTCTTTACGACTTTTCAATGGACATATATAGAGGGTTTTGGTCTGTTGATCAGAAACACGGGTAAAACCAAAAATGCTTCGCTAACAGCGACAAGTACAACGATTTGTAGTAGTGCAACCTCCAAGATGATCTAGCGGCTTGGGTTGAGACTGACCATTTTGCACTCTTTGATTTGGAGTTTGATATCTATTATTGTCGTTTATATTCCTTTTGGTCTTATTATTGATTGTGAGTGGTTGTTTGGAGAGTTTTGGTTTTGTTTAAAATAGGTTGGGATTTAGTATTTCTAGAAGAATTATGTCTGTTTGTTAATAAGTTCTCTTCAGCGTTCTTTTATTCACATGAGCGTTCTATCATTTCTTCCAGAATTTGTGTTTGTAGTATGAACTTCTAGAAGTAGGGTGTTCTTCACTCGAGCAGTCTTTTCTTCGCTCGAGCGGTCTCTTTGCATGGCTAAATTTTGGAAAGAGGGTCATTTTTCACTCTAATAGTGCTTAATTTGCTCGAGCGATCTGTTTTGCAGGATTAATGTTCTGGGAGTTTGGTTTCTTCGCTCGAACCGTGGGTTGGTTTCTCTAGCGGTGTTCTGCATCTGACACTCGATTGGTGTTTTGGTCACTTAAGCAGTCTGCATATATAAAGTTATGGGGAAAAGATCTTTTTTTTCACTTTTTGATTTCTCTCTCTCTCTCTAAAAGGTCTCCAAACCCAATATATTTACTCTCTCTCTCTCTCTCTAGTTCTTGCCTAAACATCTCTCTATACTCAAATCCACTACTCTCGCTACCTTGGTGTTTTGGAATAAAATATAGAGCTCTGAGTGGTGATCGTTTTAATCTAAAAGGTTCTAGTTTTAGCTTTCATCGAATTTGGGGTTTTGTTCATCTCTCTTTCTACTATTGAGGTAGGGATTTCCTTAACATCTATGTATGGTTTTTAGCTTCATTATGTGCTCCTTGAATAGG